AAACTACCTGGCTTCTTAGAATCCACTGAGCCTCCCACCAGGGCCTCAAACCAGCATCACTGACCTGATTGGCTTGGCCTCTTCTCCCCAGGATAGAATAGCAGGAGCAGAGCCCTGAAGACTGCAGCTGGATGCTTGCTCCACCACCTTGTCACTACCCTTTCCTCCTCCTCTTTCCCAGCAACACCCCCATGTCCTCAAGGTCACCCAGAATCAGGTGGAAACTGGGCCACATCACGGGACTGGGGAGGCGGCCTTTGCTGGGCCGGCTCTGATAACTGTAACATTCAGGTGCTTGCTTTGGCCAGGCAAGGGGAAGGGAGACAGACAGAGAGACGGGGTACCCATTCACACCTTACAGACCCCAACGGGACAGATTTGTGCTTCAACACAATCTTTCTGAATCTCTCTCTTTTAAAGATATTTTTATTTACTTATTTAGATTTTTTAATTGGGGTATATCTTCTAAAAAGGGCACAAATCTCAACCACACACTTAAAGTAAACTTAATATATGCTCACTCTCCAGATCAAGATACAGAACATTTCCAGAACCTCCCACGTGCCGCCCCCTAGTCAGAATGTCTAAAGAATAGCTGCTCACATGACTCATATCACTGCAGATTCACGTGGCCCAGTTTTGAATTTCAAATGAACAGAATCATATAGTATGTGCTTGTCTGTGTCTAACTTCTTTATTCAACATGCATTAAGAACTTTTTTATATGAAGTCTTTCAATGGTTTAGAAGTTCAATGACATTTTGTTATACAGTTAATAATATACTATGTGTGCTGGATATGTGATATGCAGGTCATAAGATACTATACATACCCCAGGGGTGTGGTGGGAATTACTGGTTGGAAAGGATAGGGTGGAGAGGCTTCCAGGAGTGTTAAGAAACAGGAGCGCTAGAGCTTCCGGCGGCAGGGTCTGGGGAAGCGGCGGCAGGCGCCATGTCTTGCCTTGAAGGTGGCAAGAAGAAGCCCCTAAAGCAGCTGAGGAAGCAGGCCAAGGAGATGGGTGAGGCGGGTAAGGCATTCAAGCAAAAGTAAAAAGAGGAGCAGAAGAAACTCCAGGAACTAAAGCGAAGGCTCTGGGGAAGGGCCCCCTGGTCACAGGTGGAATAAACAAATCTGGCAAATAGTGAGCTGTTCTGTGTGCCTGGGGCATTGGTGATCCTCAATTCCATTCCTGTTTTAACTTCTGGATTCCCTGTCATACCATCTGTTGCCATCTAGAGCTAGAATGAAGTGTTGTCTTGGAGCCTATGGTATATTTAAGAATTAACTTTTGTAAATAATAATAATAATCATGCAGTGACTCATCTCTTTAGTTCTTTTCACTCAGTCATCTCAACTTAGCTGTGAGGTCAGAGTAAAACCAGCCCAGAACCCTGCCAAAGTGTGTTCTTTGGTCTTTGTTCTATCCCAAATTCTGTACCACCTGGAATTAAACCAACTCATTTGAAGAGAGAGAGAGAACTCTAGAACAGGAGCTCTATAAAGGTAGAGAAAGAGAGAGAGAGAGAGAGAGAGAGAAAGAGCTCTAGAACATCAGGCCACAACTCCCACAGACCTAAGCACCCATGTCTGCCAGCAGGAGTGGTCTCCACCCCAGTGTCAAGCAAGACTAAGGTCTGGTATAGGCAAATAGAAAGCTAATTTTATTTGTTAATTCAAGAAATATTTATTGAGAACCTGCTATGTATCAAGCATTGAGCTGGGTATCCTATATAATAAAGTGGTAATATGCAAATTGACCCTCACACCCTCACAAGATGGCTGCCTATGACCAGGATGGCAGGGGGGTTAGTGAGGGACAACCAAACGACTGAACAAGCAGGCTGCGTGGGGTGACCAGGCCGGCAGGGGGGCCATGAGGGGTGACCTGGCCAGCAGGGGGGGCAGTTGGGGGTGACCAGGCCAGCAGGGGGGGCAGTTGGGGGCGACCAGGCCGGCAGGGGGGGCAGTTAGGGGCAACCAGGCCAGCAGGGGAGGGGGGAAGTTAGGGCCAACCAGGCAGGCAGGCAAGTGAGCGATTAGGAGCCAGCAGTCCAGGATTGTGAGAGGGATGTCTGACTGCCAGTTTAGGCCCAATCCCAGGGATCAGGCCTAAACTGGCAGTCGGACATCCTCTGAGGGGTCCCAGATTGGAGAGGGTGCAGGCTGGGCTAAGGGGACTCTTCCCCCCCCCCCTGCACAAATTTCGTGTACTGGGCCTCTAGTTAGGTATATATTAAAGAACAAGACAGACAAGGTTTCTATCCTTTTGGGGTTTATGATGTATGGAGGTAGGAGGTATAAGGTCATAAATAAACAAGTTAATATAATAGTTTTAAATGCTATGCAGGAAGTAAGCACTGTGGTGGAAAAGGAGGATGGGGTGACAGGTTGTATGAGGTGCACTTGAGCAAGGGCAATGTCTTTGAGGAGGGATGGTTGAGCTGAGGCCAAAAGGATACACAGAAGCTGGCAACCTGAAAGGATTCAGGCGGGTAGACCGGCACTGGGTCAGCAAGAGCAAAGGCCCCGAGGCTGGAAAGCACTGAGAGAGGAGACCTGGGTAGCCGGAACATAGTGAGGGAGAGGAAATATCAGAAGATGAGGCCAGCGAGGTTGGCAAGGAGGGCTGTGTAGACTAGGGCAAAGGTTTGGATTTCATTTCAAGGGCAGTGGGAGCTACTGAAGAAACCAGTTTTAAGGCAAGGGAATATCATCTCATTTGTATTTTTAAAATATCATTCTGGCTGCTGTGTACATAATGGATCACAGTAGTGTGAGCACTTGGGTGGATGGCTGATGAAGCCGAATGACTGATACGGAGAAGAACGATGTAAACAAAAGACAAGGCCGATCCAGAGTCAGAAGCCTGAGGACATCCAGGTGGAGGAACTGAGTAGCCCAACGGGTCCACAGACAAATGTCTAGGCCCGGCTGCAGAGTTTCTGACTCAGGAGTACATGGATGGGCCCAAGAATTTGCATTTGTAACAAGCACCGATGCTACTTTTGAGAACCATTGGAAAAGGCAGTTGGATACAGGCACCTGGAACAGTGGCACTTGGGGGCTCTAAGCTAGCCAGGTGTATGCCACCTGTTTATAGCACATCCTATATAATAAAAGCCTAGTATACAAATTGTCCCTTGACCGGGAGTTTGACCGGGAGTTTGACCAGGGGCAGGGCCGGCTGGAAGCCCCGGCTGGCGGTGGTGGCAGGCAGCTGGGGGAAGGGAGGCCCCGGCTGGCAGCCAGCAGCCGGCAGCCACTAGGAACCCTACCCATGCATGAATTTCGTGCACTGGGCCTTGAGTATTTAAACAAATGGTTGGAAATCTCTTAGGGATTGAAAACAGAGAAGGGCAGGGATCCAAGGACAGCCGCCCTGAGGTTAACCTTTAGAGGTCAGGACGTGGAGGATGACTGAGAGGGGACAGCCAGGAGGTAAGAGGACCATCAGGAGAGTGTGGTGGTGAGAAACTGTGGGAGCTAGAATGCCTCCCCCGACCCCCACCCAAAGATATCCAGGCCCAAATTCCTGGACCGCTGGGAATATGTTACCGTAAAAGGCAAAAGGGACTTTGAAGATGTCATCATGGTCATAAACCTGAATTATGCAGGTGGGTCCGATTTAATCACATAACCCCTTAGCAGCAGAGAACTTCCTCTGCTGGAGTCAGAGAGATGCTGCAGAAGAGGAAGCAAGAGGAGTGCAAACCTAAGGACTCAGCACCCTATCGGGGACTCTGGGTGCTGGGGCCCCTATGGGAGGATGGAGAGAAGCCTCCAAGAGCTAAGGGCGCCTCCTGGCTGGCAGCCAGGCAGGACACGGGGCCTCAGGCTCAGAGCTTCAAGGATCTCCATTGGCCAACAACCTGCACAAGCTTTGAGGTGGATTCTTCCCCAAAGCTTCCCTCGGGCTGATGCTTGGATTTGATTCCAATGAGACTGATGTCAGGCCTCTCGCCTACAGAAATGAGAGAGGATAAACAGGGGTTGCTTAAACAGTGAGGTTTGTGGCCATCTGTTATGACAATGATGGACAGCGAATATTGATGCCAAAAGAAAAGTGTTTAAAGGTCAGAGAGGTCAACTTCATCAAATGCAGTCAAGAGGCGCCTGATGGATTTCAGTCTTCTGTAACGGAGCAGGGAAAGGTAGGTTGAACAGAAAATGGGGGGTGAGGAGGTAGAGACGGAGAAGTTAAAAAGGCCTTTGCAGCCACTCTTTTGAGAAGTTTTTCTGGGAAGAGCAGCCGGAGGCCGATGTGGGACAAAAGGAGGCTTGTTCCTTTTGTGGTAGGAGATTTTCCTGCACGTAAGAAGGAAATGATCCCGGACCGATGCAGGAGGGAGCGGGTAACTGAAGCGCATGAGGAGACACGAGCGGGAGGGCCCAGCTGGGACCCAGGACTGTTCTCCCTTTGCACCAAGTGCAGCACGGATTTTGTAGATTTGCTGATGGAAAAGTGGGGAGCATCCGCTTGTCTTCTCAGGAACTGGGCAGTTTGACTCTAAAGCCCTGTCCCGGCCTGAATTTCTCGGAAAAACAAACGAGAAAGAAGGAAGGTGGAAATTCTGGGGCCTTGTGCTCACCAGCGTGCTCCGGCCACGTGACCCCACTGCGTGCCCCGCCCCCTCACGTGCTGTGCCACGTGCTGCATGCCCGGTCACGTGCCCGG